CGTACATTTCAGGCAGGAGAGGAAGGGGTTCTGTAATTCTGAGAACAGTTCACCCGCCAATAAACACTGCGGTGGTTTTGGTGGGGTTTTTGGATTGGCAATACAATCTAGATAATAAATTCCTCTTACTTGAGACATAATCCAGAGTAGGATTTTGTTGTCTCTATGTAAAGCAACAACCGTTTTGCCTGCTGGTCTTACTCTTCATCCCATCCAGTTCTTCCAGGATCCTACAACTTTCTAAACTGATTTATCTGGTTTGGGTTTGTGAACTGCTCAGCTATACGGAATCACAAACATCACAGCGACTGCCGTCTTTCAAGTACTTGTTGATATTTGCCTCTCTGATGTGCTTTATCAGCATCTTAATGCGTGCGTTTGCTGCTGCATACTCCCTGCTGTTTGATTCACTATAACAATTTCTTCCTTTATGCTGCCTGAATTTTCTGACATGAAGAAATACTTCATTTGAGACCCCTGGGTTTCTACCGCTTCTTAGTGATGTTATGTACAAAATACATACATACCAGCCTTTACCTTTCCTCAGAGCAGTTTTTTGAGAGGTCTCCTTGCCCCTCGGTTCAGGTGCTTTCCGATCTTTAGCTAGTTGTCGCCATTTGTGGTGTGTTCTAAATAATTCCTGGGTGGCTGGATGTTTATTTGCTGCATTTGAGATGAAGCTTGAATTTTAAATGAGGTAGATTGTAATCTGAATTTCTATCTGGACCTTGAGGTGTTTTTCTTGGACGAGAACTCTAGTTTTCTCCCATTTCTGCGCAACGATACAATCAATCAGCTGATCAAAAGAGGTACAATTCTATTTTCCCATCCTGTGATGGTGAAAGAAAGCATTTGCAAGGGTAGAACGAGATTCTCAAAGCAGAGCTCAATGAGTTGATGTCCTCATTTGTTGATCTCGCTCTCTCCCATCGCAGCACCGACCAGTAACAATTTTTCCCCCTTCTAGACTGAAACCCCATATCAACAAGTCTTGTGTTTGTCTGTTGAGGTCTTCAGTTTCACCAGCCTGGGATCCTTTTTTTTGCAGGGCATTTAAGATCAAATCCTGCTTGCTTTCAAATGACAACATTTTTAAATTACCCTGTTGAATTTCATTCTTTGTATAGGCACTGATTTTTAAGTGTATTACATAAAAGTCTATTTTTTAGGGTTTTTCTTGCTATCGGAAGAATATTCAAAAACTTTGTACCTAACATAATTGAATTTCATATTGACTGTGGAATTATTTCTTTGTTTCTGGATTGTCAGACAGACTCTGTGTTTCCTTAAATTATAGTGGTTCTTGTTGACATTGCCCTCTCTTACTAGTGAGGGTTGGGTTTATCAGCAATAAGTTAACCTGCTCTGAATTCACTTCTACATCTGCCAGTCTGTAGTTACTGAAAAGATTTCTCTTTTCTTTTATTTTTCCTCCTCTTTTCCCCTTGGCTAGTTCAGCGTTTTCAACCATTTTCCTTATTTTCAAAGGCTTACGCCTGAGGGATTAAGATCTACATTCGTTTAATATCAGGAATAAAGTGGAAGTTACAAACTGCAAGGCTAAAACTTGAAGAAGGATCTCTGTAGAGATTAATATTTTCCTGAGCGATCTGCAAGCTGAATCATGGTCTAATTAAATAGCACAGATTTAGTAAGTTTGCATTTAAACATTAGCAGACCCTAGAATGGGTAAAGCTGAAGTGAGTTTGAATCTTTTCTGTAAATGGGAAGTTAAATAATCATAGTAATTTGATTAAATAATTGTTAAATCTGTCAAGCTAAATCACCATTTTAAAAGAAGAGTTTGAAGTCTTAATCACTGTTTGGAAGTGCCCCTCTCTCTGCTCTTTTTTCTTACCTCATTTCCTGTGACAAAATCTGTTTCCCAAGGCACAGCTTCCTCAACTCTGCTCCATGAATGGTTGTTTGGCAGCGGAGTGCTTGTGTCAGGCCAGTGGACAGCGTGCTGGTCACGTTCTTCCCAACTGCTAAATGGATTTCAAAGACAGCAACAAATACATTTAATGCCTTACTACTATTACTTTTCTACGTAAACAATTGCTCTGTTTACTGGAGGGATGGTATACAATCACCCCTGCAAGGAGAGGATAAGATCCCTTTTTTAAGATGTCCACACAGTGGAAGAGTTCGAGAGCATGGAGTGTAATACCTGTATCAGAGGGCAGGTTTTGATTCACCTTCCGTTCTTGCCTTTTCTAGGGGCGTTCTCTTCCTCTTTTCCCTCCTCACTCAGTTTCTGTGTAAGAATTATGTAGCGCAGATATATTCCTAACGCTGCAGGCCCAATGGCTATCCAAACTGCAGAGTTAAAGATCTCAGGCAAGTTTCATCTCTGTGAGAAAAATTTATTAGTCCGGACTCTCTCTGTGTATTTGCCAGTTCAAACATTGTCGCGGTTACAATTGCTGATTCTGGGAAGAATCAGACCAGTTTTGTAGAGGGTTAAAAACTAAACATTTATTGTCAGGTTCTCCAGAACGATCATATGGTGGAAATAAACAAAAACAAAAAACCCACAAAAAAGACCCCAAGAACTTGGTGAGACTTTGACTCGCCAAGCATTTTGTTGCTGCTAAAATGATCCTGTCTGGTTCCCCAGCAAATCTGGCCCTGGCACGGTGGGTCTGGGGAGAGGAGGAAAAGGTGTGTAATTTCTGCACAAACTGTGCATGGTTTGTAGAAAAATTATGTGGAGTAGTGCATCGTGTGTTCTACAGCACAACAGTGAATATCCAAGGACTAAAGAGTCAGGGAGTGAAGATGACAATTTGTTTGGAGTTTACATTCCAAATTAAGCCCGGTGGTCGGACGCTATGCTTAAGACATCAGTCACGTTTGTATGAGTGTGTGTTAGCATGTCTGTGTCGATAATATCTGTTTGTAGGACACAGAATTCAGGGATTTTTTTCTTATTGACACAGAATTATTTAATAGAAATGCCGTATTAGAAAACTATCAAAAATGTATGGATTTGGGGACTGGTCTCACATTAATTAGAACTAAATTTTGCTAGAGGTAATATTTCCCTGTCATCTTTTTTATAGTGTTGTAGCTTTCTTTTTCCCTAAGAGAGATATTTTTGCATTTCTCTGCTTTCAGCACAGTGCACCTTGGTGTGCAGTATCAGATCCCTGCAGCGTATGTCTTAACTGCATGCTTCTTAGAGCATGTATTCGCTAAGACTCAGAATTATTAAACATGTAAAATTCCCATAGGACTCCATTATGTGTAATTAACAGATAAACTGTCATCAGAATCAATAAAACGTGCTAAATGATCCAAACTTGTATATAATTAAGTGTCTGTTTTAGAGCAGGAGCTGTAACTTTTATTTTTTCTCTTTTCAATTTGCACATTTGTTTTGACAATAGAAGCTGGAACATTTTTGTTAACCTGTTACTTACTGGTTTGTGTTTTGGTTTACATGTTTGTGTTTGAAAAGAGAGAGGTATTTAGTATCTGGCCTAATTATCTGAGGAAATAGTTACACGTCAGCTTTTAGGAAATGACTCTTAGGTGCATCTTAATTCTCTGAATGTAATTCAGATATTTGAAGCACGTGCAAAATTTGATGTTGTTATCATCAACAGGGTAAAACACGAGGCTCTGTCAAAATACTGATCCATCAGACTGCTTAACGCATTCTTCACCATCCATCTCCTCAGTCGTTACTCTGTCTGAGAACAGGAGCTTTATTCCGAAATCAAAAATTAAGATGCAAGGCAGCACTGGACTAACGAGAGTTTTCAAGGATATACTTTCATAATGCCGTGTCCCAGTTTCACCCTGAGCTAAGCTTGCACAGCGTAGCCTATCCCCCTCGGACTTGCACCCCTTTGCAGCAGTTATATTTTCATACGGTGTTTTATTGGCTCCATAAGTCTGTCGACCATCCAAATTTTGGTAGCTGATAGGGGCTGTTTGGTGGCCTCTTTCACCTATGACTGTTCTTCCTTACTTACATTCACCTCACTTTGGACCACATCAGGGGTTTTTTGGCATTTATGACTACATAAAAGTCAGAGAATTAGGGCTGCTTGTCCGAAGTCATCTCAGCATGGTCCAGTAACTGCGTGTTCTCAGGGACGTCTTCCCTTTCTGTATCTATGCTGTTGAGGGTTTTACAGTTCTTTCAGTTAGATCTTTCCTTTTTATTTCACACTTCCGTTGCTTTAATCTTTTCGGGTCATGTAGCAGTTTAGTTTAGTTCCTGGTATGCATTGTGTCTAGGCTTGTCGCTCAATACTTACACCACCAAAACATCTCACCTGGAAAGGTACAGGGCGAGGTGCTTGCTTTGAGTGGTTTAGAGAAAATGCAAAACCCCGACAATAACAAGATAAACCACCCTCTGAGTGGGTGGGAGAGAAGGATTACACCTTGTAGGAGATGAACAAAAGCTGTTCAGGAACATACTAAGTGTTGCCTGTTTGTCTGAATGTGCCTGAGGGAGAAGAAAAATTGCTAAACCCATCAGGAAATCACATCGAACCTGCTTTTCCCTTGCGTCAGTGCAGTGGTCCTAATCCCGCGATTAGTGTCTCTGAGCGGTGGGTGATGACCACGGCTTCCAGCTCCACAGCCTTGGAGCCTGGCACACGATTGTACCGAGCTTTTCCACAGTAGGGCAGTCATTCTCGCTTCCCTGATGAAACGCAGACCTCGATTCATACAGCCCTTTGGCGCTAGCATTTCTTGAAAGCGGTAACTGTAAGAGACGGTTTACAGCGAGGGTGGCTGCTTTACTTGTTTGAGGGGGATGAGGAGAAGGATTACTTACAGAAGAGTTAATTATACATTTGTAGTTCCACAGCAGCTCCAGATATTTTCCTGCAGGTCAATACAGAAATCAGTGGGTCATTATCTTCCTTCTTTGTGAAAGAGGATGGACAGAACTAGTGAAAGCGTTGTGCAGCCATAGTTTTATCTGACTTTCGGCACACCGGACTGAAACCTCCTGTTGCTCCTTTGTTTTGCAGACTCAATGCACATAGAGGATGTTGAGGCAGTGCAGAAACTTCAGGACGTCTTACATGAGGCTCTGCAGGATTATGAGGCCGGGCAGCACATGGAAGACCCACGTCGCGCAGGCAAGATGTTGATGACTCTCCCGCTTCTGAGGCAAACCTCCACCAAGGCTGTGCAGCATTTCTACAACATCAAACTGGAAGGCAAAGTCCCCATGCACAAACTTTTTTTGGAAATGCTGGAGGCCAAGGTCTGACTAAAGCATCATGGGCTTCCCCATCATGCACGTTTTAAAAAAAAAAAAAAAAAAAAAAAAAAAAAAGGGAAAATAAACAGGATAATAATGGCAAAGAAACTTAGTGTTTAATTAAGGAAAAAATGACTGCACTGATATTTAGCAGCAAGACTGTGAAGCAGCTTTCAACTTTTTCTTCTGTGTCTTTCTGATGCAGTTTTCCTTTTCCTTTTCTCTCTTTTCCTTTCTGTTCTTTCCTTTCCTTTTTCCTTTTCTCTTTTTCCTTTGCTGCTGAACTTTTTAAAAGAGGTCTCTAATTGAAGAGAGATGGAAGCCAGGCCTGCCAAAGGATGGAAATCCATAATATGGATGCCAGTGAACTTATTATGAACCATAATGTCCCCAATGACAAAGGAATCAAAGAGAGAGCCACCGTACCTAGCAGTACAGTACAACACGATGAACTGACTGAATGCAGTATTAGATTTCATAGGAGCAGTCTCTAATTAGACGACTAAGCGACGATGCATCGGCTGCTTCTTATCATTGCATTTTCCATCTAGATCAGTTACAGCCATTTGATTCCTTAATTGTTTTTTCAAGTCTTCCAGATATTTCTTAGGTTAGCTACAATGTAACTTTTTCAGGGAATAGTTTAAGCTTTATTCATTCATGCAATACTAAAGAGAAAGAAATACTGCATTTTTGTGCTGGCTTGAACAATGATGAACAATAATGAAGGACAAATGAATCCTGAAGGAAGATTTTTTTAAATGTTTTGTTTCTTCTTACTAACGGAGATTTTTTTGTACCAGCTTTACCAGTTTTCAGCCATTTATTAATGTGGGAATTTATCTTACTAAAGCAATAGTCGAAGGGAAGGTGCATATTATCACGGATGCAATTTATGTTGTGTGCCAGTCTGGTCCAAAACATCCAGTTTCTTAACATGAGCTCCAGTTTATAACTAAATGTTCACTGACTCAAAGGATTAGATTACACCTACAGTATATCCGAGTAGTCTAACATATAAATACTCCATGTCAAATACCAATCTGTAACGGTGTTAGGAGACAGCGACTGTACAGAGGTATAGTTGCTACGTGATTTCTAACTGCTTCAGTTGCAAATGAACGAGATACTGCCTGTTTGCAAAATTATAACCTCACTCGCAGAAAACCCTACGAACCAATAGTAGCTTAGAGGCAATAAGGCAAATGCCGACGTTTGCAAAATCAAGAAATCAGAGTAGTAGACTTCTGACCAAATTGAAGAATTTAACACTTCTATACCTTATTTATTGATTTAGATTTTATTTTGGAAATGGCAATCTTTAACAAGTAGCTAAACCAGTATATGTGCTTTTCAACCAGTATCGTCACAGCATGAAAGTCAGTCAGTTTCAAGACTGTTACGAGGTGTAATCTAATGTATAAACCAATTAGATGCCCCCAGAAAACTACAGTCGCTAAATAACCAATAAACAATAACCTCCATCAAATGCTATACCAATGTACCAGTGTTAGTAGCTGCTCCCTGTACTATGTGAACATCCTTATTCTATGTACACAGATGTAATTAAAATTGTAATCCTAACGAACAAAAGAAATGTAGTTCAGCTTTTCAATGTTTCATGTTTGCTGTGCTTTTCTGAATTTTTATGTTGCATTCAAAGACTGTTGTCTTGTTCTTCTTGTGGTGTTTGGATTCTTGTGGTGTGTGCTTATAGACACAGGGTAGAATTAGAGACAATATTGGATGTACAATTCCTCAGGAGATTACAGTAGTATATTCTATTCCTTACCGGTAATAAGGTTCTTCCTAGTAATAATTAAGAGATTGAAACTCCAAACAAATACTCGTTATGAACAGATACACACTGAAATCATAATATTTTCAAAACAAGGGATAATTTCTGTAACAGTTTATTATAGAATACCAATGTATAGCTTAGAAATAAAACTTTGAATATTTCAAGATTATAGATAAGTCTAATTTTTAAATGCTGTAAATATAGCTTTTATTCAATCATCTCTCAGATGTTGTTATTAACTCGCTCTGTGTTGTTGCAAAACTTTTTTGGTGCGGACAAGTTTCCAAAACTATTGCTACGTTGTGTGCTTTAAACAAAATAACAATGGGCTGATGCTTCGTCAGCCTCGTGCTAGGAAAAAAAAAAAAACTGTGTATCTATCATTAGCTATATGGGACTATATTGTAGATTGTGTTTTCTCAGTAGAGAAGTGACTGTAGTGTGATTCTAGGTAAATCATCATTAGCAATTCATTCAGATGGTCAATAACTTGAAATTTATAGCTGTGATAGGAGTTCAGAAATTGGCACATCCCTTTTGAAAAATGTCAAAAAAAAAAAATACAACTCCTGGGAAAAAGGTGCTGATTCTATAAGATTATTTATATATGTAAGAGTGCAAAAAAAAGTTTATTTTCCAGAAAGTTTGTGCAGGGTTTAAGTTGCTACTGTTCAAGTACACTATATATATATAAATATA